ACTGCAGCTGACACTGGTCAATCTTGTAGGAGGAGTTTTCATTCTCCTCTGACTGTCCTATGAGGCTGTATGACCCCTGACCCTCTGTCTAGACAGTGCTGATTGTCCCTGTGCTGATCACATGTACCCTCCTGAACCAAAAAAAAAAAAAAAACCTCTAACAATACACACCAATCTGAGAATGTGAAGACTTGCCACTGCTGCTATGAATTATGGATGGATTGGGGACAGTAAAAGAAGGGGAGGATCAGAGAAGACAGGATGAAACAGCCTTTTTACCCAATGCAGAGGATTAAAACCTTTCCCAGTGAGTTTCCGCAGTGAGTATAACAAGCATGTTTTACTGCATATACAAACTGATTTTACTGTTGTGGGTTTAGTAACTCTTTGAGTATTTATAAGGGGCAAATGTAGTGGATTCCAAATGATAGAGCCTATCCACTCAAAAGGGATCATTATAGTTGGAGCCTGTGGTCTTTGTTAGCAACTTGTTTCTTATGTGTTTTGGATATTCCTGTGTGATTTCCCTGCCACTCAATTCTGTTCCTCACCTACTGAATGTTTTGTATGTTCCTACTCAATGTTGTGCGTTTTGCACTTCCTTTTACATTCTTTATTATATATATATAATGTATTATGTATTATATAAAACATTGTGTGTGCAGATCCAGAAACTCAAATGCAGATATCCCGCCAACAGAAATGACAGATATAAGATGTTAGATTTATTAAACTCCTTTCAGACATACATGACCACAAATACTGTATATCAGATTGTTACCATGATAAAAAAATAAATAAATAAAGTAGGTCTAAACCCATTCACTAAAATGTCATACAAGCTTTAGCATGCTGAAGCAATCATGTCAGATAACAAAAAAAAATCAAGATAAAGATTCCCTAATGAGCTCCTATTCTCCCTTCTCCTGTGCCCTTTATGCCCTACCTTTCCTACATTCACATGCTGCAGCTCCATCAGTGCTTTTGCATTTAACAATTCCAGGAGTGTTGGGTGCCTGTGTTCCCCAATGAATACCATGGCTCCATCCTTTGACCCATACCTCAATGCTGTATCTTTTTTTTCAGGCAAGCAGACCTGATTTTGATCTTTTTCTGCCTAAGGCAGGCCATAGGTGATGGGATTTTCTTTCCAGCAACCATGTTTCCCACATCAACACCCTCAGTGTTAGTGGGGGAATCCTTCCTGCTGTGCTATTGTGTTCTCTCGGCAAGGGGCGAGGGGAGCCGTTCCTGTATGGAGAACACTCTCCCAAGAAAAAAAACCCTCTCTAGCAATACACACTAAACTGAGCATGTACGTGTGACTACGGGTTCAGTCTGTCTTATCAGGTGGACATTTGAACAGGAGGAGCAGCAGAGAAGACAGGATCAAACAGCCTTTTTACACAATGCAGAGGATTAACCCCTTAGGTTCCACAGTAAGTATAACAAGCATGCTTTACTGCATATACAGACTGGTTTTACTGTTGTGAGTTTAGTATCACTTTAACTCTATTATTATACAGGATGGAAGTTTACAATATTTTGATGGGGTAAGGCACAGTAAAATGCATATAACAAGAAGAACAAACGTAACCAGCGCTCAAATCTTCATGCAGACTAAAAGGTATTCGGAATGCCAAGCGGTGAGGTGCAGACCTTCAAAGATCAGGAAATCTGGGTACTGGTGAACAAAAGCAAACAATTGCGCACTCTCATCGTGCATTACCGTGGTACACCACGTATTTATTTTAAAAAAAAAACCCATAGATATATACTCTCAAACCAAAGAAAATAAAAACAGGACATGCCGCAATGACAGTCCAATTCAATACTGTGCCCTACGTAGGGATAGGCTGACGCGTTTCGGGAGATGAACCCTCTTCGTCAGCTCTGAAAAGGGGGTTCGTCTCCCGAAATTGAATTGGACTGTCATTGCGAACCACCTGTCCTTTTCTTTGGTTTGTGAGTATATATATCTATATTTTTTTTTAATAAATACGTGGTGTACCACGGTAATACAGTAAAATGCATGTTATAGTGCATTACTGCACGGCATGGTTCTATTTACATTGTGCTGCCTTAACACAACGCATGTTAACATACTACAAGAATATGAATTCGGCCAATTGATTCAGTTAATGTTTGTAAAATAGAGATATAGAATTTTTTCCGATGAAGCAACCAACATTGCTTACATGTTTTTTGGTGGTATGTATGAGTAACTTTTTCACCAACCTGTTGAGAGAGGGAGTCTGCTCTTTTGTTTTTAGCAAAGCACACATGGAAAGATACCACACAGAGCTCCACCTATTGTTGGCACATGGTAAATAAGAACAATTCATATGCAATATTTCTTATTTAGCAGATCAAAAAAGAAAAAAAAATATTGCACTGAGCACAATCAATAAATAAGATACATAAAACTACAGATTGCCTTCAATTTAGCTATGCAAGGCAAACATGTCAAATAAGCAAAGAGCTAAAAGATAGGAAATGAAAATGAACAAAATGAAGCTCCTTTAGTTTGCTGTTTTCTCCCTGCATCCCCAAAGGCCTCTTTTCCAGACTATATAACAGTAATTAGTGTCATCTTGGGATGGGCAGATTAGCAGTTTCCTTGTACTATTCTTGGAATGCATTCCTCCCCAGGAATTCATGTTCTGGTATTATTTTTATATAAAATGTTACTTTGCTGAAAAAGTGATTATGAATTATATTTATTACCTGTTAATGTCAAAACAAATGGTTAAGACCACAACAAATTGGAGTGATTTGGAAAAGATGATCAGTTTAATACTAGCCCTGAAATTGTGCACATAGCTCTGTGGAAATGATGTAAATACAATTCTGGCTGTATAGTAGCAACAAATCACATTCAGAGTGAAACAACAGCTAATATGACTAATGTGAGTTTGCACATTCTCTAGATACAACGATAATAGAATTTTCGTCTGTTAGCTAGACTCAAAACATGCAAATGTTGTTATTGTATTGTGCAATTCTTTAATCACAGTAGCTGGAAAAACTGTTCCAAAATAAAATAAAATAAATGGTATTTGCATAACATTTGTAATAGAAGCCACTTAAAGCAGAATTAAACCAAAAATGTAATATATTGTAATTTGCCAACTAATAGATGTGGTGGCTGCTTTAGTTTTTTTTAGTTTTTTTTTTTTTGGTCGTGGGGGGGCTTTTTGTCCCTCTGTTTCACCTGGTGATCTGTCCAGTAACACACCTTCTGTAATAGAGTTCCAACACTTTGGGTGAATGAGCACAGGGGGCACAGCACCTTAGGACAGCAGCATTGTCAGTTCTGGGTGGGGGGGAGTGTTAGATGGACTAGCAGATTTAAATAAACTAACTAATTGAAGCCAAACTCTAGCTAGCACTTTATAAGCAGTTACAGCAACAGTTTTGTTCTTTTTGAGAGAAAGGATTTACATACATAAATAAAAGCTGATCATTTTAAAGTGTTACTAAACCCAGGACCCTGCCTTCACTATATCTGGTCTCCCACAATACACACAACATAGAAATGCAATTATTTTAGTAATTATAAACTAGGTTTTCTCATCAGCAGTTAGAGCAGTCTTGTGACTTCAACAGTGTTCAGCAGAGCACTGGTTAAAGCTTGTAGGAGTTTTCTTTCTGCTCTAGGAGGATGCAAGACCCCTGCTGATCACATGCACTCTCCCAAGAAAAAAAAACCCTCTATAGCAATACACACCAAACTGAGCATGTGCAAAATGTCTATGGTTCTGTCTGTCTTATCCTGAGATAAGAGGTGGTTGCTTGAAAAAAGGGAGGAACAGAGAAGAAAGGATCAAATAGCCTTTTTACACAAAGCATGGGATTAACCCCTTAGGTTCCACAGTGAGTATAACAAGCATGCTTTACTGCATATACAGGCTGATTTTACTGTTGTGGGTTCAATAACACTCAGTACCCCTGTCAGTAGTATATGGTTTGTCTCATCCCTATAACTGATACAATCTGCTGGACAGCTTGTTTTTAAAAGAAAAAAAAACAAGAGACTTACTGGCCAGATCACCAGGTGAAAATAAAACAAATAAAGTCTAAAAAGAAAACTGATGCATCCATCACATCCAAACACTGGTAACCTGCAATATCATAAATGTTGCGTTTGACTTTAATATTGATTTAACACAGAAATAGCAAGGTCCATATATTAACTGTCCCCATTTTTAACCCCTTTTTGATCACCCAACACAAATATGCAGCCACAGAAGGGTGAGCTTTAACGTACACACACCACACGTATGAGACGCAGGTCAGCCGATAATTATGTGCTGAGAGCATGATCACTGCGTGGTCCCAGAAAAAAAGACTGAGTTGTACACAAAGGGGAGGGGGAACATTAAAAATCAGACCTTGCATGGAGTGCAAGGTACACTTTAAAGAGAATTTGTCATTAAGGGGAAGGGGGCAACCTGCTGGATGTAAAAAGTGAATAAACCCTCACATGCAGCAGCCTCCCAAACCTTCAAGTCATGTCTGAATGTTGAGTCATTCTAACAGTCAAACCTCCAACACTTTCAAGTTTATCCTCTTCCTCTTAGTGACAGAGTTTCTTTAAAAGCTAAAGTTTAGTTAAACAAACATTTTTCTCTATAGCTTTATTACATCACTTGCCTGTAATGAAGCATGTCACATGGTGTGCAGTGTGCTGGATTTGTAGAAATCTTCACTGCAAAGCTGCCCTGTCCTCTTCCTGTTGCTTAACCTCCGGTGCTGTGGGGGTTAACAGCTTCATATCGCCAGACTCAGCTGCACTAAAGATGATCTGACAGGGACACACCCCTTTGTTTCTCCTCCTCCTTCTCCATTGAGAAACACAAGTTACACTGTGAATGGATTGAGAGAATCATGTGACTGATAAGACTCTCCCACATTCATATTGTGTTACAGGCAGTGTAATCAGCAAAAGGACTTTTCTCAATGAGGCAGAAGGAAGAAGGAGGCATGTCCCTGTCCAGGGGCGGACTGACAACTCATGGGGCCCCCGGGCAATAGGGGATCATGGGCCCCTATGTCCTTGCCCAAACTCAAAAAAGCCTATGAAAAAGGTACCAGGGGCATCTCATGGGGCCCCCTACTGACCTTGTGCCCTCAGGCACTGCCCGAGTTTCCAAATGGTCAGTCCGCCCCTGTCCCTGTCTAACGCTCTAACACTGAAAAATGCGGAAAAACGTGGTAAAATGCCTCAAACCAGCATTTTTGGACTTTTTTTGACCAAAAACAAAATTTGGTAAAAAATACAAATGTTAAAAAATGCAAACGGGAAAACACGGCTAAATGCTAAAGCAAAAACGCTAAATAAAGCTGTAAAACTCATGTTTTTTAACATGACTTTACACAGCTAACGTTACCAGCATTATCAAAACGTCCCGTGTGCATGAGGACTAAGTAGTACATGCCATGAGAATTATAAGGGGGAAGATGCCATTGCTGACCTGTTTCTGACTTTTTGTTGTTTGGTTGTCATGAGAGACTCAGGCTTCTGGAAAATGAAGAAGATTATGATGATTAGCCATTTTGACTTTGCTTACTGCATGATTGCTCTGGGTCACGGACTCAGAAAAAGTTAGCGACAACAAGACAAATATCATTTTCAATTAGCCTTGACAGCCCAACATTTCTTTTCCTCAAGAAGTTCATGACACTCTGCAAAATTGAAAAATGTTATTGAATGGTCCAGGAGTTTACATCAGGCCATTACAATGACAGTGAACGTCCTGAAGTATCAGGGTACACTCTGAAGTACATCTGTACCACATTCATGCAGTATAAACTAAGGCTGCCCATACATTATACAAATTTCTTGTACAATTTTCCTTTGGATTTACCAAAACCATAAAATATGAGGTCAAACTTAAACACTTTCAATTTGTAAGCAATCAGTCAGGCCCTTGCACTACACAGTTGAAGGTAAATCTAAGGAAATTGAACAAGAAAATTGTATAATGTATGGCCAACGTAAGGGAACAGATACAGAGAACGCAGCACACCATAGCCTGTACAGTCACTAAGCTATCAAAGCTACCCAAAAAAAAAAAAACATCAAGCATTGGGGTATAGGCAGTTTTCCTCCCCTAAAGCAGTGCTCAATGCCAGAGCAACCTATATACAGGCCCAAGTTTTGTAATTTGAGGTCAAGGGGGTTTTTCTATGTCCAACAATTTTCTGAAAGCATGCATTCTCATAGGAACGTCAGAAAGCTACAGCAGAGCTCTAGGAATTTGATATGAAGTGGCACCTCAAAGTGAACTTGTTCTTTGGCATACAGTATAAAGCAACAGTTCTATTTTATCCTCCTCTCCCCTGAGGCACAAACTCTTTGTCACTTCCACACTGTTCCATTCAGTTGTCGAGAGAAGGACAAACTGCTCTGGATACACTTAAATCCTAACTTATACATGGCTATAGACTCTCACCATGTGACAACACTGGTACTTAGTCATTTTTCCTAGTGCTGTCACTGCAGAGAGAAAGAGACATGATCTTGCCCTTGTACAAAGCATTGGTATGACCTCATTTAAAATCTGCAGTTCATTATTAGGCCTTAGGAGCCTCCATCATGCTTCAGTGTTGCCCGCAGACACTCATTATTGTACCCTTCTCCAGCCCTTCAGTGAACAAACTGCCTTCTGCCACAGCCAAATTTAAAATTTTGACTCATCAGTCCAGAGCACCGGCTGCCATTTTTCAGCACCCCATTTTGTATGTTTTCATGCATAGTTGAGTCACTTAGCCTTGTTTCCACATCAGAGATATGGCTTTTTGGCCACAATTTTCCATGAAGACCACTTTTGGCCAGAGCTTTTTGGGCAGTAGGTGACTATACCTGGGTCCCACTGGTTTCTGTGCTGATGGGACTTCTGCATATCTTCCAATGTCAAAGGGAAATAAGCACGATGTGTCTTTCATCTGCTGCATTAAGTTTCCTTGGCCAACAACATTGCCCGTTTTTTTGTACTTGAGCAGCACATCTTGAAACCCCAGTCTGCTTTGAATTCTTTGCCTGGGAGACATCTTGCTGATGCAATATAACTACCTTGCGCCTTGTTGCTGTGCTCAGTCTTGTCATGGTCTATGACCTGTGACATGAAACTGTCTTTCACAACCTCATCTTAGTAGCAGAGATTGGCTGTTCCTCACCCAGTTTAAGCCTCCTACACAGCTGTTTCTGTTTCAGTTAATGATTGTGTTTCAACCTACATATGAAATTGATGATCATTGGCACCTGCATGGTATAATTGGTTAATCATACACCTGACTCTAATCCTTCGAAATCCCCGACTTGTGCAAGTGTACAATGTGTGCAAATGTAGGAATTGATGCTGGTTTGAAGCCAAAGGGTAGTCACACCAACTATTGATTTGTTTTAGACTTTTCTTCTGTTTGCCACACAAGAAATATCTCATGATAGGTAAAAGCAAAGAGCTCTCTCAAGACCTTTGCAGCCTTATTGTTGCAAAACATATTGATGGCATTGGTTACAGACAGTTTTCCAAATGTCTGAATGTTCCAGTGAGCACTGATGGAGCCATAATCTGGAAGTAGAGAGAACATCATTTCACCATAAACCAGCCATGACCAGGAGCTTCTGGCAAGATTTCTTACAGAGGAGTGAAAAGAATTACCAGAAGAGTTGCCCAAGAGCCAATGACCACTTGTGGAGAGCTTCAGAAAGGCCTGGAATTAGCAGGTACAATTGTATCAAAGACAACAATAAGTAATGCACTCAACCACCATGGCCTGTATGCACGTCCACCACACAAGACTCCAATACTGAAGTAAAAGCATGCTGAAGCTTGTTTAAAGTTTGCTGCACAACATTTAGACAAGCCTGTGAAATACTGGGAGAATATAGTCTGGTCAAATGAGACTGAAAGTTCACTCTTTGGATGCCACAATACACACCATGTTTGGAGGTCAAATGGCACTGCACATCACCCCCAAAAACAACATACCAACACTGAAGTTTGGAGGTTGGAACATCATGGTGTGGGGATGTTTTTCAGCATATGGTACTGGCAAATTTCATATCGTTGAGGGAAGGATGATTCTTGATAAAAAATCTGCTGCCATTTACCAGGATGATGAAGATGAAATGAGGGTTGACATTTCAGCAAGATAATGATCCCAAACAAAAAGCCAAGGAAACTCAATTGGTTTAAAAAAAAAAAAAAAAATAAAGCTGCTAGAATGGCCCAGCCAATCACCTGACTTGAATCCAATAGAAAATCTATGGAAAGAACTAGATCAGAGTTCATAGAATAGGATCACAGAGTCTTCAAGATTTGAAGACTGTGTGGAAGAATGGGCCAAAATCACACCTGAGCAATGCATGCGACTAGTTTCTCCATACAGGAGGCATCTTGAAGCTGTCATTACCAAAAAATAATTTTGTATGAAGTATTAAATACATTTCAGTTAGTGTGTTCAATACCTTTTCCCTGTCTCATTCCATTTTAATGCGCATAACTTAATTTTTGAACTTATTTGTTTTGGTTTATTTGTATGTATGGAATGCATGGGTTGTTACAGTAATGTGGTGGGAAATTTTATGTCAATATCACCTTTAGAAATATATGTACTGAGAAAAATGGTGACGTGTTCAATACTTATTTTACCCATTATGTATATGTGTGTGTGTGTGTGTGTATATATATATATATATATATATATATATATGTCTGTGTGTGTAGGAAGACTATAGAATTATTATACAGGATTTATTATTATTATACAGGATTTTTTTTCTTTTGTTATGAACCATAGCGACCAATCATTTTTAATTACATGTTTCTTTGGAAATTGACCATGGTGACCAGTCAGTTTTAATTATTTGTTCCTTGGAAACTGATCATGGACAGACACTAATTTTTTATGTTTTCATTTTTTTGTATGAATAGTTCTCTTTTATATCATATGCAAGCACTACATTTATCAACTTTTAAGTTACAGAGCTCTATCATATATACTATTCTGAATAAAGCACACAAAAGTTATAAGGTCAGAGGATTCTAAAATGAAGATGTCGTTCTTCACTAATTCAGTCTGCAGAGCTATTGCTGTGTTCAGTATTTCAAGTGCTGTAAACATTTGGAGTGCATTACCACCAATACTTTTATTTTTCATGCCAATGGGTGGGGTATTGCCACATCTGTTATTTATTAAAGTAACCATGTGATTTCCATAAACACAAAAAAAAACAATATTTTCCCTTTCAACTCAAATACACAGTTATACAAAATAATATTATGTGCTCCCTATAAGCAAAACACCAAAGTAGGGCATAATTGTGTGTGATCAAAGACTAATCTTCTAGCTGCACATGAGTAAGTGGAGAGGTTGGGACTACTGCCAGGAATACCAAAACATCTGCTTGTTTCCAGCTTACACTCTGGAAGTTCAGGGGACAAGTCGCTAGTAATCCAGAGCTGATCTGGATTAAGCACCAAAGATAAAAACAGATTCATGATCCATTAGCATCAAAATCTGTTTTTTGATTGTGCTGCATTTCTAGTCTTAATTTAATGTATATATGTTATAGGAATACCTTTGCCTATTACAATGCTACATACAATTCTTTCTTAAAGCTGAACTCCAAACAGATATAGAAGACACACATTAATGCAACTCTGTATTCATTAATATATCCTTAAATGTAATTTTAAATGCAAGAAGTGTATGCATCTTAAAATGGTTGTAAACCTCTGAAATAAAACATGAACAAAGCACACCCTGCTGTAGTGTGTACTAGCCTCAATTTAAAGCACCTAGTGTGATTTATAGCTTTTCTCTCCTCTCTCCGATATCTGCATGAGTCACTTCTGATCATTTATTCTGACACCAAGCAATTCTGGGAGACAGCCCCACCCCTTTCTCCAGCCTCAGTTGTACATGTTTCCCTATGAGACAGTTTAGAGGAGAGTGTTTTCATTTTCTCTACTCGAGTGTCAAATTTCACTCAGCTGTCTGCGCTGTGCAGTGTGTGACATCAGATTCCCGCTCCATGCCTCTTGAAGCTCAGAAATGTATACATATTGGGTATATGTAAAGGTTTACTACCACTCCATGCCTCTTGAAGCTCAGAAATGTATACATATTGGGTATATGTAAAGGTTTACTACCACTTTCATTTATACCTATTATAATTTAATTTATTTTTATA